CTTTCCCTATAAGTTAAAAAACAAAAATTATTATTTAATCAATTAAATGTAAATCCATGTAAATCTTCATTAAATTAATCTTACTTCAGTCTCAGATTCAGATTCTGATTCACTATCTGTATCTGTTCCCGATGAACTATTTTTTATCTTATTTTTCATTGAATCACCTTGTGCTTTAGGTTCATCCTCATCGCTAGTAGAACTCTCCTTCCCTTTATTTTTCTAAGAAAAAGAATATTATTATAACTTTTAGATATGCAGCTTTTCATTTATAATAATAAATTTCTATTTACCAGCTTCTTAAGTAAAATTTATGTAACATTTTTAAAAGAACAAACACAAGTGGAGAGAACAGATGAAACGAATCATCTTCGGCTCTATCCATTGTTTAACTCTTAAAATTTTCTGAAGATCTGTGCCCGGCCTCTCAACTATTAATTTGTACCGATGAGGAGTTCGGTACTCCGTTAAAAATCTCAATAATGGTACATGTAATCACGTTCAACCGTCAAAGGATAATTCGATCTTACGTACTTAATAATAATATCTAAGCCAGTGTACTGTTGGTTAATTTAAAAATACTGACTCTCCATTGGAGTTTTTTTTCCTCCTGGCGTCGTTGCTCCTCCAATTCTTCAGGGTTAGTGAAGTGACGACTCCGGCCTTTGTAACTGACATATTTACCTGAAAGAAAATCGACATCTGATCTAAATTCTTTCTTCGAGGTCAAAACATACGAAATTGCGTTTTTCTTGCGAACAAATGTGGAGGGGAAGAGAGGTGATAACCGTTCCAAGTAAAAATTAATAATAATATATGCGCTTACCGCGCGGCATTTTTTCGAACCAACTGACTACAGTAGTTTAAAGAATATTACACAGAAATTTGAAGAAAACAACCTCTTCTCTACTTTGAGAGAGGAATTACGTTTAACGTCAGATTAATACTGCCCTGCTGCTTATTTGGTCGTCAGCCACGAGCTCTAGCGGCATGAACCATTGCATAGAATATTTGTAAGTATGGTTGGTAACATTCGTAAGTTTATTGAAACGGTTAAGAAACAGAATTAATATATTTTGATGGAATTTTTATGACTATTTTTACTGTAGATATAGCAGAAAATTATTATTTCTTTAATAACATGTAAATTTATCGAAGTATTGAATACTTCGATTAGAATATAGTTCTCATTTTTAGTTTTATACAAACGCAAGTTTTATAGTTATTTATTCGTGTATTATACTCATTAATACTCCAGTTCATCTCTATAAAATTCCGATCTGAGTTTACAATATAAATAACTTTTATGAAAATTAATATTTCGGAACCTTAAACTCTGTCATGTTTCTACTCTTAAATAACGTAGTTCATGCCTTAATGATTTAATATTACAGTATATTAGTATATCAGTTATCGAATAATTTGAAGGAATTAAATTTATTTTTTCTAAAACTTTGTAATCAATATTCAAATTCGATTTTTAATATTCAAGTGAAATTAATTTTTTTGTAAGTTTTATGTAGTATATTTATTACATAAAATATGCTTTTCGAACAAATTCTATTTCGCGGCACTAAATAAAATGTCTTCGTAAAGTGTTCATTTATTTTTCAGTTTGTCCACAAATATGGGATCTGGAAGTAATTGGATGCATCTGGCATGAATACAAGGTTATTGGGTACCAACTGCAAGTCACGCCGTGCGTGACATTTTACGCAGAAAAAGTGAATGCAAAATTCATCATACATCTGTCCACGATTCAAATTTGTAGGTAGCTAAATTTTTTGTTTTTAATACTAAATAACTGTTTTTATAATTATAGTAATTTAATTCCTTTCTAAAATGTATTAGTCTTTTGCAATTACGTTATTATTAAATTTTCATTTCAAACATGTGTGAAAACTTTTTCCATTCAATTTGAATTGAAAAGATCAATCACCACATTAGAATTATTTCTATTCATTATTTTTGATTATAACAGGAAATGTTACGTATTCATTTCTATTTTAAGTTATGAAATTGTAATTGAACAGCTCATTTTTGCAAGTTTCCTTTTAGATCAAAAGCGTAAAATGTACATGAATTTCGTGATTTCAAATTTAATTGTTCGAGCTTAAACACCACTGACCTGCTTAAACCTCAATTTATATTGTTTAATAACAATTGAGTTGGACCCATAATCCGAAAGAAATACAAGAAAGAGATTCAAAATTCTAACTTTATTTATTATATAATATTCTTTTTGTCTTTTCTTGAAAAATTGTTCTTTTGTCGATTAATTAAAGGAATTATTTTAATATCATAACGTTATCAAATATCCAACAGATATTTCAAAAGAGAATTTCAGTAGGTAGACCGCTTTGTTCCAATTGAAGTACAATTCAAAGGAACGCGCGCTTACTGACAGTTTAATATGGCGCGTCTTCGTTTTATTCTACCATCTGGTGGCGCTTTTCGAAAATAGATTGTGATTCGAAAACGAAGCAGCCAGTCTGTTTCTGATATTCGGAGTGGTTGGACGCAGAGAGACCGTGCTCTTAAATGTTAGCCGGTGAGCGACTGTTTTGATGTGTTTTAATGTCATCCACTTGAACAATTCGCGGAATCGAACTCAGTTTATTCGCGAGTGTTCCCGCGCGATAATCGTGGAAACTATCATTCGAATCTTTATCGCGTTAGAAACCGATAATTCGATTGGTCTTGCGTCGTTTGCCAGAAGTGTGTCAAAGTCGATGTAACGTGTTTCTGTGCGTCCATAGTCAATCGTTGCTATAAGTGCTCTGGGCTTCGGATATGGTTTCTGTCGAATAAAAAATGGTAAGTCACTAAAACATCTGTATTATTCCATAACATTAAAATTGCGAATTATATAATCGCGAGAAAAGTAACACGTTTACCAGAGAGGAAGTTGTGAATATATTTTTGTCAGTGGTGTCAAGTGTTTGGATGTCGGTAGATCTCGGTCCGTTGTTAATTTGGTCGAATGGTCGCACAGTTTGAATCGCGTGTGAATGAATCTTCGGCAAAGTTGTGCATCGATGTGACAGCTTTGGACAGCAGTCAAAGTTTCTCTTGTCGTGCCTTATGAATGAATACCTGTTCTCTTTGCCCTTTAATCGCCGTAAAAATGCTAGAAATCGGATGCTGTATTTCATAGAAAATTATACTTTAAATACAGTTCAAATATTATCCTATGGACATTTACATAAACCAAATAGTTTTGGATCAAATATTTTGTAATTCTATTTCGTACATTTAAACCTATGATATTTTCTTCTGGTACGGTATTTTTCTTTTGAATGTTCTACACAATTATTTTATTCGAATTATTCCATTGAGGTATCCCTTGACGTATTTACGAAAGAGATGTACTCGCAGGATGGATTTAACATTCGGCTGGAGTCATTGCCACCATTGTTTTATAAGTATTCAGTCGTTTTATAAACATGTCGGGTAAGTATCGCTTCACGTGCGCCGCTTTTCGTCATGTTTCTTACGACTGTGTTATATTTTTGTCGTTGATACACTTCTTCGCTGCCCGGTGATTCGTGTTTTGAGGCAGCCAGGATGTTTTGATAGGCGCGTTACATCTGCATACGCGCCGTGTTAATTGCTCGACGTTCCAGCATGCCCTTAATTGTTCTCATAAATGTAACAAGCACATCGTCCCCGTGTTACATTGACGAATGGTCAATTTAACGATGTACTCGACATTTTAGAAACCCGCGTTTTATTGCACTCGCATTATTGCATATAAAAATATCTTAAACTAAAATCTCAATCGTAGAATTCGATATTCATTTGTTAAGGGTTGTTTACAAGTCGTATTTGTTATTAATTAAATTACAGACAAATTACAATCTTAAATAATACATTTTTTTTTTTTTAACTGATATTACTTTCCTAAAAGAATATCGGAATATCCTATATTCCAAATATTGGGAAGATTTTAATTCTTGGAAACTTTTATTCTCTGATAGTATATTCTCGGAAACTCTTAATTGCTTGATGCTTACATTTTTTGAGATTCTCAAGGTCCATTTCGCAAGAAGAGATTAAGCTTCCAATGATAAAGCCATTAACAGGGAGACATGTTTATTCTAAGAATTTCATCGTCTCGAAACACGAGTAGTCTCGTAGAAAATAAATATATTATATACCCGCCGGTTTGGCATTATCGAGCAAGCAGACTCAGGACGCGAGCTTGTGCAAGCCATTCCATTCAGAAGTAATGGATTTCCAATAATTACGCTCGCAACTAAAACCACCGTCAAAGAAAGTTGCATACACGCAGGGGTACAGGGTTAAGAGTCAAGGCTCGGATACTTCTTTTTCCTCAACGTTATTAGAGGTCTATGGATTGACGGATGACGCGTTAAACGTTAACTTTGATTCCTTTATCGCCGAAGGGCTTTCGCTTTCGCTTTATTCCTGACATTGTTAACTTTTCCCAGCTTTTCCCCTCGTCCTCGTCATCTTACGCAATTGTACACTGGAACTTATAAATGTGTAAGAAACCAAAAAACAAAAGTAATATTTTTCTTATCGTGGCATTATATACGTAGTTAACCTCTCAATGTATACTCACGTGGTCTCGACTTCGCTAGGGTATTTCGATATAATTTATGGTCCCATTTTAACACTAGAACTAGTGACTTGTAATGTGTACCTAAATAAGCGTACATAACTGATATTAATGAAGATAGTATATAACGAACGTGTAAAAACGTGTAAAAATATATGTATAATTACGATTCTATTGGAACGAAAATTGATACATACTATCTCGTTAAAAACATCGGTATATTTTCAGCAACTTTAAAAGTAGAGTCTGAAACGAGTCATATTGACCTCTTTAGTAGTCCCAGTGTAGAAATTTCGTTGGAGAAATTACACTTGCGGTGTAGATATGTTATTAAATATATAATCCTCGGATACTATACTCCGTTATAGCAAATCCAATAAAACCCCCCATTATATTCGCATTATACTAGCTCCAGAGCGACTGGTTCCCCAAACACGCGTAACCATTCGCTTGTACACTCTCATCAGCTCTATACGTGCCTCCAAACAACTGGTTCCTTAAATACCAATGCCGTTCACGGGGTTCTCGTCACGTCCCAACGTCGTGTCGAGATTGTTTAGCAGAAACAAACGATCATAACGCGGAGAAACAACGAGGTATCGTCGCAGCTGTGAAAACAGCGTTCCCCACCTGTATTCGTCTATTTTCCGGACAAAAACATGCGGCCCGTTGTCGAACACGGGTGGATTCGCCTAGTTCTCGGGACGAGCGTTGAAACGAGCCGCTTTCGCGAGGGAACGGCACCCGAGAATGCCGTTACTAGCTGCACGTGGCGATTATAATCGGGCACCGATGTGCGAGCCGATTTCCAGACGAAAGTGATTTCTCGTGCGCCATGTTTGTCCATCGCGTCTCGCGTTGCCTGTAGCAATTCGGTCGTTTCGTGGAAACTCGGCGGTCAGCGATAATTCATAGAGAGGTTAGGGCGCGCCACTTGGTATTTGGGGAATTAGAATGCAACTCGGGCGGGCGGGAAATTTGGTTAATTTAAAGGTTAGGATTCTTTCACGCAATACGGATAATCTTTACCAATTACTTTTTAATTATATTTTCGTGCAATTAGATTGGATGCTTTCAATTTTTTATGTAAATTGTATTATTTGGTGATATATAGTTATGGTATGTTACTCATTCATTGTTTGGAGTTACAATATATATTGTAATACGTGTAATATAGGTAATTGAGGTTATCTCAGTCTAATTGCACAAAATCCTCTGCGAGAGTCGAATGTAATTAAAAAAAAAATGGAAAAATTCTAAAGGAAAATTCTACAGGTTACAGTGCCTTTGCAGACACCTAGGCCTAACCATGGGTTTCAAAGCATCGATTTTTACGCGATCACTGGGTCTAGGTTATCCATTTCCCGAGGCACAAGCCGGACGGATAATTTCCAGCATTCGTCACGCTCGAAAGTGCAGCGAAACGATCCAAGGGATCGGTTTTTAGGTTATTCGAGGGAAAACATCGGACGTAGATCGGCGATAAATCGTTGGAGGGTAACTATCGAGCATGGTTCACGCCGAACACGATATCGATCTCGAGATTAGATTAGGTCCGATAAGGCTTTCTGGGAACCTGACGAGCAAAACGATATTCGAACAAGTGTTCCACATCCTCGTCTCGCCTTCTAACATGGCCGTGTTAATTTAATTATATCGTGTAGCATCGTCTTGCGTTACCGATCACGTATCACGCCGTGATAACGCTCGAATTCGACTCGAAATTCGTGGCGCAAGCCGTGCAGAATTGTTCGAGAAACATTCTTCCACTGTGAGGTACACTGTGAGAACCTCCTGTAGAGGTTAGAAAAAATAAATAACGAAGCATGGTATATTTTCCGAGTATTAGTTACTCGGAGAGTGGGCAATTGTTTAATTATTCGAGATCCCTCTGTGGGTTAAGGTCAGGCCAAGTGTGAAAAACGCGGGTCTTTAGCGCGAGGGTGAGAATGAAGAGGGTGGTCTAAGGTTTATTTAGCTCTCCGCAGCGAGTGTTAGCTTCTTCTTATTGTTCCAGATAAATCCGAGTATATTTTCTTCTTTTCGAAAACTTCCAGTTACCTCTTCTCCGGCGTATGCTTCAATTTTGGTGTATTCGTTTAGGGTAACTTGGAATTTCCGAAACGCACGCGAGAGAACAAGACATCGGTGTTGCTCGTGCTAATGAAAGAGATTTGCGAAATCATGGCGGGAATTTTTGCCGTCCACTTATTTTGCGCCCGAGTATCATCTCGGGAGCACAATTGAGCATAATCGAGTGACCAATTAAAGCCAGGATTCTTTTTGCGAGGGAATTTGAAGCGACACTGGCTCGTCGTCTCGTTAAACAAATAGGACAATCAAAGGGATCCCTCTAGATTGCATGGGAAACGATGCGGATGAGTCTAATAACTCAATAAAAAGGGGTCTCCGTCGATGGAGGTCGTGGACCGTACGAAGGCCATTGAGAAAATCGGACAGTAAACTCGGAGCACGTGTATTCTCAAGCATTGTCGAGTCACGAAGCCAGACTGTGGATAAACACGGTAATTACATAAAGAAAATTTTCACGGAAATCCGCGAGTATAAAGTTAAAGGTAGCGGAAACTGGAACCTGTAATTAAAACAAATATATTTTATAGAGTACGATATTCGTCGAGGTCTCTGTGCAAGGAAATTCCATCAGCTTAATCGATTTGCACTTCAAGATTAAGCACCAGGCTCATTCTTCGCAATGGATCGCTACATCAGTGGTAGACCGCTGCATAAATCGCTGGAAAGGAATAAAAAAGAAGAAAATGAAACTCGAGAAACAATGAGCAGCAGTTTCCTGAAGCGAAGCTTATTATCAAAAATCGTTCCCAGATAGTTTCCTGACAATTGAAGCTCTTTTGGACGTGCTGTAGCGAAGGAAGAGCGAAAAGGGAGAGGCAGATTATTCGCTGGCTCGGCGTCTCTACTTACGCGGTCGACAGAACCCAGTCCCGAGTTGCAATTCTCGATTACGAACTCGCGTTGACCGGGTAAAGAGTTTCCAGATTGCTTTTCCTCCGTAAACACGTCCGCTATCCGGCCATCGATCCACCGGAAATTCCATGATCCCGCGTTTCTTGGTCAGCGCGTTTGTTAGCTGCGCCTCCAAAGGGCCGTGGAAAGATACATCTCGATAACAAACGGGAACAGAAATCGAAAACGAGAAGTAATTAGCATCGGGCAGATAACCAATCAGCTGTTTCATCGGGCAAGAAATCAA